TGTTGGACTGCAACTCCCACCAGTCCCAGCCAGCACAGGGATGAAGGGATGATGGGAGTTGGAGTCCCACAACATGTGGGGACCCACAGGCATTAGTCTTCACAGGGCATAAAAGACCCACCACTAGGCATCACAGCTTGACTGAGGGTTAGTCACAAGAGCACATAAATATAATGTACAAATCAGTATTTCCCCAGTTGTTGCTGGACTACAACTCCCATCATCCCTAGCTAGCAGGACCAGTGGTCAGAGATGATGGGGGAGCAGATTAGTCCAACATCAGCTGGAGACCCAAGTTTGAGAAGCACTGGTATAAATAGAGATATACAGAAATGGGCACACAGGTGGACGTCTACTTTTAATGAGAGGGCTGGCGCAGTGCCAATTTTGTTGTGATTGTAAGTTTCTAAGAAATTGTGTGTGTGTGTGTGTGTGTGTGTGTATTTATACATGTGCTGTATACATTTTTAACTCTATTAATGTTTGATTGTTTTAAATGATTTCTCCCCTATGTTTTTAGCTGCTCTTATTTTATCTGTAAGCTGCTTTGAGGGAAAAGGTATTATTATTATTATTATTATTATTATTATTATTATTAATAAGGCAAATCCCAGATCTGAAAAAGGTTGCTGGATGCCTGTTCCAAGCAGTGCCATTTTTCTCGAAAAAGAGGTGCCGGAACTCACCATGAACGCCTCCCTTGTTCTCTTTTAATGGCACTGGCCCCCACCTGAGAGGAGCCAGAACTGAGTTCTGGTGAGTCCCGGCTGAAAAAAGAGCCCTGGTTCCAAGACAGTTTAACTTGGGAAGGATGACTTCTATGGAAAAGCCCCATAAGCAGACCATCAAAGCAGAGAGTGACCTTCGTCAGAACATGCAGCCTTACGCCCCCCCCGCCCCCCCCACGTCAATTCACACAGAGCAATGCTTCCTTATTCCACATTTACAACCCTCCGCAGCCTGAATCAGAAGTCCCTTTGGGTGTGGAGCAGAGGGAATCCACCCGCCTCTCTCTCCCCATCCAGGCGGGATGACAGATCAGAAAAAGGTGTTAATGGGTAACCAATCAGCTTAAAGGATCTTGAATGCTCTCCTCCAGAAACTTTCAAAGAAGAAGAGGGGGGTGTGGAGACTGGAGAGAGAAGGAAGAAGAAAGATATATTCCTCCCGAGTTCAAGAGCTATGGGGGAGTTAACGTTTCCCCAAACGCTTTGCAATCCTACACACGCTCCCTCTGGGAGTAAGGCCCATTGAACTCAATGGGGGGTGTTTTTGAGCCGACCCGCGCCGGAAAATGTAACCATTCACACAAACGAGGGTGTTATCTGATCTAAGACGGGGGGGGGGGCGGGGGGCAGCTCTGCCGTAGGATGGACTTTATCCAGGGCGAGGAGAGCGGGGAATAGTGCTAGGGAGGAAAGTCAGCAAGCAAGCAGAGGGTTAATTCAGATGGTGCTGGGCGCGTCCCCACGACCCGGGCCAAGGAAGAAGAGGCAGGCGGCACGCGTGTTGTTGCACGTGGGAACCGCAAGTCCAGTAAGGGGCGGGGGTGGGGGGAGAGGAATCCCTCTGCCTGCGATCACTCACCGACGCCGTACTTCTCGCGCTTGGTCGGGATCCAGCGGGCCATGCCGGGGCCGGGAGGGATCCCCTCCCCGCTCGCTCTCTCGCTCTCTGCCTCTTCCGCGCTCGGTGCTTCCAGCCCGCAGGCGCTCCAAGTCAGCCCCCTCCGGCCTGCGCGGCTCCCGGCTCCGCCGCCGCCGCCGCCGCCATGCTCAGCTCAGGGGCGGGATCCGGCCCGCGGCGCTGCCCTCTCCGCCGCTGAACTGCGGAACTTTCCTGCGCTGCTCCGCCCGGGCGGCCCGAGGGTGCAGCAGCAGCAGCAGCGCCGCCGCCGCCGAGTCAGAGCGCAGGGGCGGGAACTCGCCGGGAGGGATCACCTGCTCCGCCCTGCTGCCCGCCACGGGGAAGGGAGGGCCGGCGGGAGGGCAGCCTCCACCCCCCACCCCCGGGGGCTTCCTCGGGATCCCAGTCCTGGGGAAAAGCATCCCGGCACTCAGCTTCGCAAGTGTACTTACTCCCGGGAAAGCGCTGGTGAGGAGAGCAGCCTTACCTGCGTTCCCGCAAAGGCTGCGGTTCCAGGACTTCCAAGGAAGGGAGTTTGCCTTCTCGTGCAAATGGCAGGGGGGCAAAGGGTGAAAGCCCCCTCCCCATCTGGATCAGCCTGACTTCGATTTACTTTTAAAAGAAAAGGGGGGGGGGGACCTCATTCATGCAGCCGCTAGTGACTTGGATGGGGTCAGGTCTAGTTTGGCCCTTAGGGTGGCAGCTGTGTGTTACATGCCTTCAGCTCTTTACCAACGTACTTGGGAATAAGCCCCATGGAACTCAGTGGGGCTCACTTCTGAGTAGACCTCTACAATGCCATGATTGCATGAATAGATAAGGGTGGGATTGCACTGTAACCCTCTGCCTGTGTGGGGTAGTTTTGCTTATTCATTCCTTTTATTTGTGCCCATATTTGTGCCCTTTTATTTGTGCTTCTGTCATGCCCATAGCGGCTTGCAACAAAGAGGAATGCATTTCAAACACTACAAAAACAAGCATGCTTTTCAAACAAACACTACAAAAACCATCTTATAATAACATGGCAATGCAATAGCAACACGACAACATACAAAAGACCATATTCCAAAACATATATAACAAGATTACATAAACAGCATTCAGCTTCCAATAGTAAAAATAACAAGGGAGCGTCACAGTTTCACATTCGTCCTAGAAATACTCACAGTCTTTCTTAGACAAAGGATTTTAGCTGGAAAAGCTCTCACAGAGCAGCTTGCAAATCCACAGAAATAATGCAGCCCCTTCCCTCAGGCTTACAGTATAAAAATACCCAACAAGTAAGGAAAAATGGGTGAGGAGGGAAAAGGAAAACAAGCAAACTGTGAAGGGAAGAAGGGCCTAGCCTTGCTGGTGAGAGCAGGAGAGAGAAAGAATGATAGTTCTGTGTGGTCTACTGCTTCTTTTCCTCTTCTAAATAGAAGAAAATCCAGCCATAATAATAATAATAAATAATAGTATCCCACCCATCTGACGGAGTTGCCCCAGCTTTCCTCATTTCAGCTGCCTAAGTTAGGCTAAAGAAGTAATTTTGCAGTTGCAATTTTTAAACAATTGGGAGTCAGAAATCCTTACTGATCTACTGCCAATCACCTAAATATCTACCAGAGGATCCTGGTCTAATTTCTGCACAGCGATTGATATGCACAATCCAACTGTTAAGCTGAGAGGCATAAATTCAAGAGAATAGATTCTTAGAAACCATATACCTTCTAAATAAATGAATTAGAGGGTGGAGGAGCATTTGATTTTAGCAACATGATACTTGGCCTACGAGAGCAACATATTTTACACTCTCTTCAGTATATTTTGCAATCAGTGGTAGTTTCTGGCTCTGGCTCTGTGGCAGCTGAGGTGCTATCAGGCGATTGCCCTAAAAAAGCTTTTTTTTACCTCTTGAAATATGGCAACGCTATCAGTCTCCTGATAGCCCCTCCGCTGCCACCAAATCAGGATCCACCCTATTTTTTTGTGAATGGGTTTTTTTGTTAGCTTTAACACTATGTTAGACTGTACAGTGGTACCTCAGGTTACATACGCTTCAGGTTACAGACTCCGCTAACCCAGAAATATTGCTTCAGATTAAGAACTTTGCTTCAGGATGAGAACAGAAATTGTGCTCCGGCGGCGCAGCAGTAGCAGGAGGCCTCATTAGTTAAAGTGGTTCTTCAGGTTAAGAACAGTTTCAGGTTAAGAACAGACCTCCGGAACGAATTAAGTACTTAACCCAAAGTACTACTGTATTTTAAACTGTTATAACCTACCCTGGGACCTCAGGGTGAAGGGCAGGTAATAAAATGATGATGATGGTGATGATGATGATAATACAACCCAACAAATATCTGGTAAAAGAAGGAGGAAAAAGAAATGGGATCCCAAATGCAGGTCTTGGGTCACAGACAGGGGTGAGGGAGAAATTCATTCAGTTTGCATTTAAAGGCGGACCCATCAAATTTTCAAAACAATATACAAACTGAGACATGGCTCAAAATCTACACATCTCTAAATTTTGCAATGCAGTTCTGCAGCCAAGTATAATGCTTACAAAAATGCGTCAGCTAGGGGAAGGTGTGCAGAACAACACCTATAGTTCTGAAAATAGCATACAAAAATTCATTATATGGTGGGAAGTTGCTTGCTGAAATTGTTTATTAGTCCAAACTGCACACGAAATATGTGGTGAAATGCACATTGAACTGCTGGTGTATTTTCGTGATGATTTGCTTTTTTGTTTTTGGGGAAAAAAACAGATTGTGAAGAACAGAATTTAAGACTGGAACATTAAGAAGCTTGGACAACTGAAATTCACATCCCAAGGGATGCGTCCATCCCCTGCGATCCCTGCCTTGCTAGCGATGAATAAACATGGGCCAGCGCTTTAAAGAGGAGGGAAATGCTTTACCCAGGAGGACCCATGATGGCGACATTCAAGTCATGCCCTAAAATGCTGTCGCCAGCCTTTTTGCTGCCTGGTGCCGCTCTGTTTCCAGGCAGGGTTTTAAAGAAATGAAGGGAAAGCCATGGCTTCCTCACAACCAGCAGAAGCTTCCATATCCCTCTCACTAAGCCGAACATAGTTGTGCATTTTAGTGAATACAAGTGGAACCTGTAACAAAATGTTGCAGTGTGGAATGTTCCTGTTCAGGGTTACAGCCAGCCTGTCCCAGTCTTCCTCCTGCATTCTTTCCTGTTTTCTTTTAATTCTTGCTGTCAGCGAGCATGATGTGCCCACTGAGCATGCTCAGATGTCCTTGGGCTGATGTTCAAGAAGGACACTGACAAACTGGAACGTGTCCAGAGGAGGGCAACCAAAATGGTCAAAGGCCTGGAAACGATGCCTTATGAGGAATGGCTAAGGGAGCTGGGCATGTTTAGCCTGGAGAAGAGGAGGTTAAGGGGTGATATGATAGCCATGTTCAAATATATCAAAGGATGTCACATAGAGGAGGGAGAAAGGTTGTTTTCTGCTGCTCCAGAGAAGCGGACACGGAGCAATGGATCCAAACTACAAGAAAGAAGATTCCACCTAAACATTAGGAAGAACTTCCTGACAGTAAGAGCTGTTCGACAGTGGAATTTGCTGCCAAGGAGTGTGGTGGAGTCTCCTTCTTTGGAGGTCTTTAAACAGAGGCTTGACAACCATATGTCAGGAGTGCTCTGATGGTGTTTCCTGCTTGGCAGGGGGTTGGACTCGATGGCCCTTGTGGTCTCTTACAACTCTATGATTCTATTCTATTCTATTCTATTCTATTCTATTCTATTCTAAATGATTGTTCCTCTACAGCCTAATGGTACGTTCCATAATTCTACTGCCTCCTCCTTCTTATCTTGTAGCTCGCTCTTAGACTTAATCAAGACATGTAGAATCAAATTCAAGACACAGTCCTGCGATAAAGTTCTACCACTTCAGGCTGCAGGGGAGGGATGCCAGTTTTGAATGCTGCTCAAGAACAATAAAAACCTCCCTTCACATTATAAATAGACACACTAGGCAGGGGACACGCTCCAGCTTAGCTCATTCCTTGCTGTGTTACTTTTGTCCTTGCAGAGAAGCTTTCAAGAATGAGCTTCCTAACCTCTGCAGCGTCCACATTACCAGGATTTGGCCCCAGCTCTATTTCACTGCATGAGTAGATCTGGCCTTCCTTCTGAAGAAACGCTCTTAGGATTCTTTCAACAAATATGCACTGCACCTTTAAAGGTAGGAGTGCTAACCAACACCTGGTCAGCAGTGTTGGGAAAATGCACCTCAAGGGTTCCTTGCATGCACAAGGTGTTAGTCACCCTGTTCTGGCTGGGATCCTGCAATGATACGCCCAGTTTCTATTCAAACAGGCCAACTTTTTGCTGCAATTCTGCCTTATGCTTCTTCTCCAAAGCTGCCCTGAGCATACTTTGTGTGCTGGCTGGCTGTACTTGAGTCAAATATACATAAAAGGCTTTCTTTAAAAAGCCAAAAACAAAATGCAGCATGTCCAGACCAGTGTAGTTTAATGAAGAGTTCAAAATAGGTTGTAATTCCTATGTTCCATCCCTTACTCCTTTGCCAGAACAAAGTAGGCCGACCAATGAGAAGGACTCTGGCATTGTGTGGTGCTGTTCTCCAGCCAAGCAAGGGATACAAAAATGCCTATGGGGAAGAGCGCATTGGTAAAGGTCAGCATAAATCACCAGTGCTCAGAGATCTGCACTGGTTGCCAATTTGCTACTGAGCCAAGTTCAAGGTGTTTCTTAACAACTTGGGACCAGTTTACCTATGAGATCGCCTTACCCCATATTTGCCCACTCAACCACTGTGATCAGTGGAATTGGCACTACTGCGGGTGTCACGTAATTCCTGCATCCGCATTTGTAAGTGTGCCATCATTTAGTGTGGCAGCCCTTACACTTTGGAACTCCTTGCCTATTGATACCTAACAGGCACTGTCACTGTATTCTTTTCGGTGCCTGCTGGAAACATTTTTGTTTAAACAAGCCTGCCTAGATATATAGAAAGTTGATGTGAGTTTTAATTTGTTTCAATCTGTGGTTGTGTTAACACTTTTTGTAGACTTTAAATTACTGCTGTAGTGATAATTTTTATAGTTTTATCTTTTTTTGTAAACGGTTTTGAGTTGTCATCCCCCCCCCCAATCGAGCAGTGTATACATTTTATGAGATAAATAAAAAAAAAGGGAAGGGAAATGCTTGCAAAATTTGCACAGACCTGAGAAAATTTGCAGGGAAGCCATGAATTTTAAAGTTGCATGATAGTGCTTTTGCGGGGGGGGGGGGGGTGTCTGGATTGGACCCGCCAGCTGGAATAAATTCCCCACTCCAGTTTAAAAGTGTTCAAGCAAATGGAAAGGCAACTCAGCAGAAAGTAATTTAAAACAAGCAAACAGCTATAGCAGTTGTTCTTTTGTAGTGAGCGTTTTAGAACCATAGACTCAAAAGGTGGTAGGGAGTCTATCTTCAAAAAGACCAAACATCAAAAACAAAGCCACACACTTTGCTAGAAAATAAAAGGAGAGTGTTATAATAAAAGTAATCAGTAGATTAGGATTTTGTTAGGTCACATCCACAACTGTACCTTTGACACACATTCAGATCTTTCTCCAAACTGCAGTTGCCAAGATTCTTTGGGGGAAACTACAACTGTTCCAAGTGTCCCTATTTTCCGGGGACAGTTCTGAAATTACAAAAGCCACCCCAGCTTCTGATATGATGCTGGAATGCCCCTGTTTCCCCTGCCAGGGCTGCCACCACCGAACTGGAGGAGGAGGAGGAGGAGGAGCCAGTGCTTGTTCTCAGTGGTGGGGAGGGGCCACTGCTGCCATTGAGACCCAGCCTCAGCCTCACGTGACGCACCGGCTCTGGGGGGCAGGCAGGGCAGGGCTGCCCTGGGCAGGAAGGAAGGCGGAGCAGAGCACAAACCAAGGCTTTGTGCATCCACATCTAAGCTTGCCCCTTTCTAAAATTTATTTGTTGATGTGTGTTTTTGTAATTCTACCAAAGAAGAAAATTAAATCAGAATCAATGGGTTTTCTCCGGAGGCTGGAGGGTGTGTGCGCTGTGTCCTGCTGGTGCAGCCGTGTGGGAAATGCTCAAGGGGTGTGTGACAAAAATGTGGGGTCGAGGAGGGTCAGTTGCAGGGATGGGGAGTGAGAAATGTCCCTATTTTCATTTGAGGAATGTTGTAGAGTATGCTATAATTACATTGTGATTTTACCAGGGGGTCACATCCTTCCAGAGCACAGTGTAAGAATGAGCAAGAAGCTGCAAAGCCAGACTCCTGTAAGCACAAAGTATTAGTGGAAGTCAGTGCTAAATAAAGTGACCATTCTGCGTCACAACATAATTTAATTTATTTCTATATTGCCCTTCCTCCCATGGGAGCCCAGGGCAATGCTCTGCATAAAAATACAATCTATGCAATAAAAACATTCTTTAAAAATACATTTCTAAAGCTAAAATCACAAAGCAATACCAACTGCTGAAATTTCAGTTGACATCCATGCCCCAAAGGCAAACAAATATGTCTCCCAATTTGTGTCTGAACACCGTCATTTTTTTAGACATGAAGATGCACTGCCTCACCTGTGAGGAGAACCTGTGGTCCTCCAGACTAACTCCCACCAGTTCCAGTCAGTATGGTCAATGGCCAAGAATGATGAGAGTAAAGTCCAACAACGTCTAGAGGGCACCAGGTTGGGGAAGCCTACTATATAATCTTGGTGTTCATCCCTAGATATGTGGAATGTCGGGATTCCACATCCTATCACATGTTCAGCTGTTAACCAAACAAATATTTTCTCTCTCTTTTTAAATGCACAAAAATAAGCCAATTTATGACCAGTGGAACTTGCAAGAATTTTTTGGGCAGCCCCCCTGTGGCTGCAGCAGAGAGTGCAGAAACTACTAACAACCCAAAAATTCTGAAGGACAGTTAAGTGACAAAGTGGTCTCTAGTCCATGGAAGCTTGCCCTGTAGCCAATGTATCATCAACCTTCAGTGAACTCTGGTGGGTTTTTCCAACTCTATTCATTTCATTCTTATGCAACATGGAATCATAAAAGCCTTATTAGCAGAGGTGGATTAATTATCTCAAAAGCTGAGCGGCTGAGAACATTGGTGGTGGAGGCAACCGTGCCAAGGTTAAATCGCAGCTGGAGTTCTTTGCAAGCGGCCTGGTGTCAGCTTGCGGCAACCCTGAGCAGCTGCTGGGATCATAGCGCCCTGGCCGGGCCCTAGGAGAGTCAGAGGCCGCAGCTCAGTGGTAGAGCTCCTGCTTTGCATGCGCAAGGTCCCAGGGTCAATCCCCAGCATCTCCATGTAGAGAGAGAATATATACCATTAGTTCATCGAGTTCGGTATTAAGTACCCATAAAGCTCAGTATAAGGCTGCTTCTTATGTTACCATTGCTGACCGCCGTTAAAAAACATTTCCAGTGCTCCCAGTGAGTTCTGGGCAGGTGGAGCCGAGGGATTCACATTTAAATACCCACCCCAAACCCCTGACTTATCACTCAAAGGCATTGTGGGAAATAAAAATAGTAGTTTGCTCAGATTCAGCTGGTGATGCTCAGCTCTGCTCACTGGCACCCTCCGACGTAGGAGGGGAGCTGCCACCACCCCAAATCTGAAGGGGAGCCTGTTTACAGTCACACTTTGGAATGATACACGTGCAAATGAATGTGGGAAGCATTTTCCTTTATTTCTGTGAACTGGGGTTTGGCTTCCGACCCTGGGTCAAATTGTTTTCCAAAGTGCGAAATCACAGTTAAAACCTAATCTTGTGGTTGGTGCACAACCCTAACCCAAATGGGTCCTTCTGCAGGGGAGCTTCCATGAAATGTTGATGAGAAAATACTGGTGGGTATGTTGCACCCATAGCAGCAGATGATTAGGCAACTGAGGATGCAATTCCAACCCCACTTGCTTGAGATTAAGTCCCATTGAATTCAATATGATTTACCTCCGAGCAGAAACAGTCAGGCTTGCACTGTAAATCATGACAAACAATGTCTCTGTTTTTCTGCAGAATTGCTCTGCACAGCTACAGAGGGTCTGAATATGAGTCAGAGATTATAGTTCCTCTCTCTCCCTAGTGAAGACAAATGCCTGATCATACGACAAGCTATGCAAGTGTTGAATTATCTGTGGGCTCTAGTCATTCTTCATGTCTGAAGCAAGGCAGCAGCAGCATGTCATAAAGACCCAAATTCTGCAATGAAATGGCAGTTCCCTGCCCATATTTCCTCCTTTATTCCTTTCTGTATCTACATCCCACCCATGAAGAGTTATGACTTTAGTCCAGGCTTGCAGGAAAATAAAGCTTTATTTCATAATAAGGATGAACGTGGCCTGAATATAAATGCATGGAAATACAGAAGCTCCATTAAGTAATGCCATCATGGGATATGATTTAAAATACCAACCAAACAGGTCCAGATGAAGAATGTTTTGTGACACAAACTTCAGGTTCTAAGTTTTTGAGGCCAAGTATTACCTTCCAAGGAGGTAGAGGTGTTAGGAACCTTGAGTGGATCTAAACACAGGAAAGAAACGCTATAAATAAGTCAGAAATTAGATCGTTTTAACAAAATAAAAAACTTGCTATGAGAAATGTCATTTTAAACAATTCCTGTTCTCTGGCGCCATCTGGTGTTGCATGTTTAAAACGGATTTGATTCGTTGTCTCTTTACTAATGTAGCTGAATCCCAGGACGAAATAGGCACCTAAAAGGCTCACCCTCCTCAACCTAATTGCACTCATCAATACAACTTAGTCTTTTTTTCAGCTTTATTCATTACTACAAACTCATGTTGCTGCCCTGTGCAAAAGCAGGGCAGGCAGACATTCAACAGGTAGAATTCTCATCACTGCAGTTTCCATCTTAGGAAACACTTAAGATATGGGTGACAGATATGCAGATGACACAACCTTGATGGCAGAAAGTGAGGAGGAATTAAAGAACCTTTTAATGAGGGTGAAAGAGGAGAGCGCAAAATATGGTCTGAAGCTCAACATCAAAAAAACGAAGATCATGGCCACTGGTCCCATCACCTCCTGGCAAATAGAAGGGGAAGAAATGGAGGCAGTGAGAGAATTTACTTTCTTGGGCTCCATGATCACTGCAGATGGTGACAGCAGTCACGAAATTAAAAGACGCCTGCTCCTTGGGAGAAAGGCGATGGCAAACCTAGACAGCAACTTAAAAAGCAGAGACATCACCTTGCCAACAAAGGTCCGTATAGTTAAAGCCATGCTTTTCCCAGTAGTGATGTATGGAAGTGAGAGCTGGACCATCAAGAAGGCTGATCGCCGAAGAATTGATACTTTTGAATTATGGTGCTGGAGGAGACTCTTGAGAGTCCCATGGACTGCAAGAAGATCAAACGCATCCATTCTTAAGGAAATTAGCCCTGAGTGCTCACTGGAAGGACAGATCGTGAAGCTGAGGCTCCAATACTTTGGCCACCTCATGAGAAGAGAAGACTCCCTGGAAAAGACCCTGATGTTGGGAAAGATGGAGGACACAAGGAGAAGGGACGACAGAGGACGAGATGGTTGGACAGTGTTCTCGAAGCTACAAACATGAGTCTGACCAAACTGCGGGAGACAGTGGAAGACAGAAGTGCCTGGCGTGCTCTGGTCCATGGGGTCACGAAGAGTCGGACACGACTAAACGACTAAACAACAACAATGGGTGACAGGAGGGTCTTTTTCAGGCCAAGGGCCACATCCTGTTACAGCTGCAACTTTTCAACCAACGACTGCAACTATACCTCTTTTGCATTGGTGTGTTTGGCAGCAGTGACAGTGGTCAGCTGCAGGGAAAGGGAAGCTGGAGTTAGACTCCAATTCCATCTGGCCCATTCGGCATGGCCAGTGGTTGGGATCATAGGTGTTGTAGTCCAACATCCGGAGTGTCACAGCTTTCCATTCCTAATTTGCTGTGATAGCAAATATCTCTATGGCATCCATTAATTAGCATTTATTTATTATTTGTTATATGTGTTTAATGACCTAACCTTCATAACACAATCTCAGAGTGGGGTACATACAAAATCAATATAACATCTGAAAACATAAACTATCAGTTGAAAACACAAATTAAAACTGATAAATTTAAAAAGCAATTAACAACAGCAGCTAACTTGGGGAGGGGGGAGGTTACTCATTTCATGTTTATCCTCTACCCCCAAAGTCACAGCTGCTTGAAACTGACCCAAAAGTTGGCAGTGCTCTACAGGGTTCAGGTTTATCACCACTGCAGCTGTTACAAGTTGTTGCCAAAAGTGTTTCTGCCTCATATTTGATTTAGAGGTCAGGCTTATCCCTCATGAAAGAGTTATTGTTATCCTCAAAATATGTTGGGATTGGCTATAAAAAGACATTGGAAGAAGGCTATGTAGCCGTTTTCTTTCTCTTCTATTCTCCATCATCTCCCTTTGAGTGTTGCTAACCATTTTAAAAAGTTTAAAAGATATATAAACTGACCTGGGAAAGGGAAAGAGCTGTATGACTTGACCTTAGAGATGTCACAGGTACTAGTCAATAGCCCAGAAGGAACTCACAACACAACATAAGTTGGTGGTGATGGGCTGCATTTCTTCCCATCAGCAATATACTGAAGACTGCATCTATTCATTTTTGGATGTGGGCAAAAATCAATAATCCAAGAAAGATGCATTTCTTTCTCTTTTACTCTCATTGCATGAGCTAAAACCAATTTTCTAAAAAGGCCCTCATTTTACAGGGGTGGAAGCAACATGGAGAACAAGACATCAGTATTGACTTAGCCAACCGCATTTATCTAATAATGCCTCATTATAAAACATATATTTATTTACTTCTTGTTTATGCTGTTTCCTTATTGCCTTCATCTCTCTTTTGGGGGGATGAGCCTTCTATTGATTGCACATTGAACCTCTTGGCCATCTTTGCAGAGCTCTATAAAGTCAACAGCCCTTCTTGCCAAAGTCTAAGCAGAAACAGATGCACTGGAAACTTCCCAAGAGACATAGCTGTAGAACATGGGTAGGCAAACTAAGGCCCGGGGGCCGGATCCAGCCCAATCGCCTTCTAAATCCGGCCGATGGACGGTCCGGGAATCAGTGTGTTTTTACATGAGTAGAATGTGTCCTTTTATTTTAAATGCACCTCTGGGTTATTTGTGGGGGCTGCCTGGTGTTTACATGAGTAGAATGTGTGCTTTTATTTAAAATGCATCTCTGAGTTATTTGTGGGGCATAGGAATTCATTCATATATTTCCCCAAAAAAATATAGTCTGGCCTCCCACAAGGTCTGAGGGACAGTGGCCCCTGCTGAAAAAGTTTGCTGACCCCTGCTGTAGAATCAGTGTCTTTTACCTACCAAGAGTACAAGTTAAGAAGCGGAAATGTCCACTCTTGGGCTTAACCAATGCTCCTCCATCAAGTCTCCATTATAACAGTGCTGGCTTTGACCTTCATAACTTGGGACCAGAGTACACAGAGCTTCACACATCTCCACATGTGCCTGTCCATGTACAGTTGTTACCTCGGAAGTCGAATGGAATCCCTTATGGAAATCTGTTCGACTTCCAAAATGTTCGGAAACCAAAGTGCAGCTTCTGATTGGCTGCAGGAAGCTCCTGCAGCCAAGCAGAAGCAGTGGAAGCCATGTTGGACGTTTGGGTTCCAAAGAACGTTCGCAAACCAAAACAGCCACTTCTGGGTTTGTGCCATTCGGGAGCCAAACCGTTCAACTCACAAGGCGTTCGGGATCCAAGGTATGACTGTACTCAGATCCTCATCAGATTTGGCTTCCTCCATCATCTGTGGTACAGAGGTTGGCTAGCAGGTTTTGCAAGTTTGTAAAGAAAAGCTTGTTGTAAACAGCACCAATTGGTTAGTGTCTGAGGAGTCACATAGAAACTCCCATCCTTCCACCCCCAAAGGACTCTCGCAAATTTTTCATATAAAGACAAGAATGAACATATCAATGAATGTATACATTGATTGTTATTATTATTTGTTTAAAAGATAGAAAATCACCATGCATCACGGGTTGAGGGGAAGATTAATTGCTGATCCAACAGTCACTTGATAGAATGTATGTATGTCAGGAAGAGTTGCCAACTTTTGAACTAGACCCTGCATCTGCCCCTTTAGCAGTCACTTGATCTGGAGTAATTAGCAGGTGATAACATTTAGCTCTAAGCCATGAAAAGCTTCTCTTAGACTTAAAGGGATAGGAAGGCCAGGCCAGCAACACCCCCCCCCATCCTTCTGATAGCTTGCCAATCCTACTGTCAAGCAGATTTCAAAGCCAGGCCCTACTGCCAAAATGCAGGGGACAATAAATGCATTGTTAGAAGGTACACCAGGCTTCTTAAAATGAATAATATGACACATCAGTTGGAGCTGTTTTTCTAAAGCTTATAGCAGTGCAGGATGTGTGTGCAATTTTCATTAGAATTACGGCTGAGGAAGGAAGGTTTAACTTTCCCTCCCTGCATGTTGCAGTCCTGATTAAAAAAAGCAACCCTGTCCCTATTATTAAATTGTAAAACAAACCCAGCTACATTTTCTAATGACGCAGCATCACGTGTAGTTTGATGGGAAATAGCTCAGTGGGAGGACATCTGCTTTGCATGCAGAAGCTCCTAGCTTCAGTCTCCAGCGTCTCCAGGTAGAGATGGAGAGCAGCTGCCAGTGAGTGTGGGAAGTACTGATCTAGATGGATCAGTGGTCCATAAGGCATTTTTCTATTGCTGTTGGTTGGGGGGGGGTGCTGGAGTCCCTTCTAATTTCTGGATCCAGCAAGGGTTGAAATCTAATGGAGGACTCAATTGTTGAAATAGCCAGGTCAGCTTCTTGGTGAGATAATGGGCCCTAAGTATGGATAACAAAGGAAGTGGCTTTGTGTCAGAGGGCAATGGGTGGGCCCCCTCTCTGATTGAGAAAGACAAAAGCCAGAGTTGAATGTGAAGAGAGAGCTGTGTTAGAAGCAGGTAGCAAGCGGAAGCCTGAGAGTGAGAGACAAGCTTGATTTCTGCTTCAATCCAAGGCTGTGGCCATGGGAGAAGCAAGACTTTCTGGGGTGTTAATGCTGTAAGCCTCTCCATCATAAGCTCAGGTTGTACTGTATATATATGTAAATACACCATATATCCTAAAGACACTGTAGTCTCCGCTGTCCCTCATTCTGAGGAAACCAAACCCTGGGTAAATGCCTAGGAACCCTGGAATCTCTCGACTGCTTGAAGATAGAGTTGCATGCCACCCCAATGTTCCTATGACCCTCAAGCCATGGGTGAACAATGGTTTTCAAAGTTTATGCCTTAAGGAATCTCTTTCTGTGCTGACTCATCTTCCACAGAAACCCCAATGATTTGGGATAATTCTGGGTCATGCTTATTATTGATTGATTGATTGATTGATTGATTGATTGAATTTATATACCACCCAATTCCCGGAGGTCTCATGGGGTAGACTGGGCAACTTGCAACCTCCATATGTTTTTGGACTACAACTCTATCATGCCATGGTGGCTAGGGTGAAGGAAGTCAAAGTCCAGCAACATCTGGAGATCCACACCCCTATTTTATGGAGTTCACCTGATTCCTGCATAACATTGCATAGGCCTACTG